TCGATCCCTCCGGCGTTTCTGAACCTCTCCTCGTTGTACTCTAGTTGCTCCGGTCGCTCCATCATAGTGCAGATGGCAAGCATTGCAGCCCTAGCCAAGGATGGCACTTGCTGATGCCTCTGCAGGCCATTCACTATGGCCTCGATCCCCCCGGCCGCTCTTAGCCTCTGGTGGTTCTCTTCATCGTTGGCCATGACGTTCATCAAGGTTCCGAACCCTTCCTCCTGCACCTCCGCGTCCTCGGCATGTCGCACCATCGATTGCACAACCGCCTCGATAGCTCCTGCCTGTCTCATTCTCACATCATTCTCGCGAACATGCAGGGCAATCCGTCGGAAGAATCTGATCGCCTGCTTCTGAACCCCAGCATGCTCTTCGTGCCTCACCATCCCCCTCACGACTGCCTCGATCCCCCCCGCCTCTCTCACCGCCACCTTGTTGACTTCGCTCGTTACGAAATCCCACAAGAATCTGCATCCTTCCTGCTGTACACCCGCATGCTGCTCGTGCCGCACCATGCCCTTCACAACAGTCTCCACTCCTCCCACCTCTCTGACCTTATCTCCATTATGTTCGTATTCGTCGATGGACATCATATTCCACAATGCCGTGCTCCCTTGCTTCTGCACCCCTGCATGTTCCTCGTGCCGCATCATCCCTGTCACCACCGTCTCGATTCCTCCTGCTTCTCTTGCCCTTCGAATCCCGTCACGGTCATTCTGCGGGATGTTCCCTATCGTTGCACACCCCAGCTCTTGCTCCTCTGCTTTGTCTTCGGCTTGCACCATTCTCGTCACGACCGCATCGATCGTTGCTGCTGCCTCTGCCTTTGCTCGCTTCTCCGCCTCTTGTTCTTCAATCTCGCGTTTTCGCTTCCTTCCACCCACAGCCTCCAACGTTCCTGCGACCGCCCTGATGACACTTGCCGCCATCCTTGTTAGAGCTTGCACGACTCCTCCCTCTGTCCTCTGATCCTCACAGGCTCTCCCGAGGTCCATCAGAATCGCTGAGAACGTCGGACGATGGTTTGGAAGCTCACTCCAGCAGCTCTCGATCAGTTCCCAGCTCTCTTGCGGGCACCCAGCCACAATGTCCTCCCTCTTGAGTCTCCCTCCTCCACACACGTACTCAGACACCTTGTCATCTTGCAAGATGCTCAAGTAAGGGGTCTTGCAACAAGTCAGGACCTCCCAGCACGTCACGCCGAACGCCCAAACGTCGCTCTTCTCCGAGTAGCTTCCTCCCTGGATCACCTCAGGAGACATGTAGCGGATCGGCAGAGCTAGTGCTGCCTCCCTGCCATGAGTGCGGTTCTGATGCTCCTCGGGAAGGAAATAGTCTGTCACCTTCACTGAAGTCTTCCGCACATCGTTCGGGTCAAAGCCGAACAGGAGCACATTGTGCGCTCCCAGCTTCCTGTGGACTATACCGTTTTCTGCCAGATGCCCCATCCCCTGTGCGATCTGCTGCATCATAACCAGCTTGTGCTGCAGCGACACCTGACCCTCCAGCCGGCCCAAGGCGTCTTTCAGTGATCCGCGCTCGGCAAGCTCCATCGGAAGTAACATGAAGCCCGGCCCTTCGCATAGCCCCATGACCTTGACGAGTCGAGGATGACGTCCAACTCGATGCAGACCTTGCAATTCTTCCCCATTGCCTGTCGACCTGATCTTGAGCACGGCCACTGGCACCCTCCTGGCCCCGTCTCCCTCAATCAAGACCTTGAGAAGTCCTCTGTAGACCGCCTTGAAGGAGCCCGCTGAGATCGGCTGCTCTCCTAATGTGATATCGTGCCTCGGAACGATTCTCAAATGACCCTGCTGCTGCTGCTGCCACTCTTCGATCGCATTGCGCAGAGCGATGTTGGGGACCAGTGTTCTGCTGGCAAGGCGAGCGTTAGTGAGAGGGCTAGTGTCATGATCTTGGAGCCATGCTTCGATGTGCGGTCTGTCGTAGGTGAGACCATCGCAGCATGTGACCGGGTCTGTCATCACCTGCCTGCTCATGGGACAGAAGAACGAAGGGTGCGCAGAGCCGTTCTCCTCGCCCAGCATGTTCGTGTTGGATTGTAGCTGAGACGAGGCCCAGGAAAATTGGGGGTACGGTAGTCCTGAACCCCCCATTATACAAGGATAAAGTGGGGTAGTACGGGGTGATTCCTTCGAAGGTGATGGGTGGGTCTGACAAGGTGATAAAACATCGGACATCAGGCTCGCCTCCGGGGGCCCACTGCCCTGGCCCTGCCGTGACTGCGGCCTCCCGGCCTCCCGGGCCGATGAGCCTTCACTGAGTCGCCGGGCCCGTCGGAGCTGCCGCGGGCCGCCGGGCCTACCAGGTGGGGATAAAGCGAGAGACCCGACGGACACCCGGCTTCCGTTGGCTCGATGACCATGGAGGAGATGCGGTCGTTGCTGGAGCAGAGGAAGCAGAGGCTGCAGGAGACTCCTGCTTGGATGGGAGGAAGAGACTACGAGAGCATCAGACGTCCGAACCGTGCCAAGAGCGCGAACCATGGGCTGGTGAACTTCATATCTCCTCGCATCTCCAATAGGAGCAAGAGCAGTGCTGAAGCTGCTTCACGGATCAGGGAAGTTTACCATCGCTCCAACCCGCTCAACTTGTCACGGTCGCTCAATCATTGGATGGACCATGCTCCCGCTGCAGCCAGTGCGCATGCTGAAGATAGAAAGTGGAATCGCCCTCAGACTTCGAGGCCGTCAAGATCAGTTCATGCAGAGCAGCAGCACTTGGATCAAAGGAGATCACGTCCTTTCACCGCTGGTACATCGTACTCTGAAGTTGCTCAACGGTTGAGAAGATCCTTACACTCGATCTCACAGGAAGCACAAGGAAGAACTTTAGCAATGTGAACCATTTCCTACACGACAGAAAAGATTTGATTGCTCCGACGTATTACATTGCTTCAATTGTCTGCTAAATGCGGATTAGCTTCAACTGAAGTAGATGTGCAGGAGGGTCAAAATGATGAAGCACAACAAGATGTTGTCTTCCTTGCAGAGCATGAACTCAATGGATGAGACGAACGTCTCCATTTCGAGTCATTCCTACTACACGTTGATAGCAAAGATTCTCAGTGTGAAGCTCGGTTTCAATGACCTTGCAGGAGACGGAGAAGATGAGGTGACAAGAAGAATGGAAGGAGATGTTTGACACACTGATGTGAAACTCTCTTCTGGTAGGTTGAGGAGGTCAGGAATGTAATTGTTTCTCTCTCTGTCGACGGGACCTTGGATGGAGCTTCTCAGTCCCATGTGACAAAGTCTATTCACATGCAAAATTTCAAATCGTCTTCGGTGATCTGCAACAACATGAAATGTTCAAGGGAAGGAACGTGACTCTTTCTTAGATTCCGGAGCACAACTACGAGTTCGATCTCACAGGCGACATCTTCAAAATTCTCATGTCGATCAAACTTTACCAGAAGATTGACCCGAAGCAAGGAGATGAGCTTGCAAATGCACAGCGTGAGTTTTCATTAACTCGTTGTCTTCTATGTGATTCATTTACGATTTCAGAGATGGGATCATCGTTTGTGGATTTGTCTTCTGTATTGCAAGCTGGGGGAGAAAAAATTGTCCTATCCAGGTTGACAAGCCATTTTATCAACAGCAACGCTTCACAGGAAATTCAGCTGGAACTGAAGCTGCTCCCCAAATCTTCTGACTTTGAGTTCTCGTATTTGGAAGGAAACCCCTTGCTGAAGAAAGCGGGTTACGTATTTTCCCTGAATGGAATCCTCAGCCCGTCAAGTTTCGTGCAACTGAAAGAGTTCAATGTAAAGAGAGGACTGTACATTACTTTGCAAGACCTGCAGGTAATTCATTCAGTGCTCGTCCATTCTCTTTTATTGACACTTGGAACGTTCATTGCCAGTATGAGAGGAAGGAGCTGTTTGAAACCAGAGGATTCACAAGTCACAGAGCTCGCTCAATAGATGGTGCCCGCACATACACTGTGCACAAGTTCAAGATCACAGAGTCAGAGGGAAGACGCATGTTGATTGCTTCTTTGGACGGTCTGCATGATCTGGAATCTTCGATTACGAGTGTTCCGCACACGGGGGTGCAAGTGGTGGATGCCTTCCTCAACCGGCTGGAGGTCATGCTTGTCTTGGACGATGGAGGCGGGCGATACCTGCACGAGATCCTGAACGTCAAAGGCAATGTGCCAGAGCAGCATGTCTCCATCATTCTTCGGCAAGTGCTGCACGCTCTCGACTACCTTCACTCGAGGAAAATGCGGATACACAATGACATTCATCCAAGCAACCTCTTGGTCTTGCGATCGGGAGAAGTTCGCTTGAGTGGATTTTGGTTTAGTTCTAAGACGCAGACCTCGCAGTCACAAAGATTCGCTGGGAGGTATGGGTACATGGCGCCTGAAAGACTGTTGGGGCTCGAGTGCGGTTTTGCTTCTGATGTTTGGAGCGTTGGCATGCTTACGCTCGAGCTCCTTCTTGGTAGACCATTCTTTGACACCTCAGAGCTCTACGATGCGAAGTCCATCTTCGAGTTCAAGAAGCATATCGTGGAAGAAAACAGTCCATCGCTTTCTCGGCAAGAGTAAGTACCGACGCTTGGAGGTACTTGTGTAGTTAACGACTGTACAGGTATTCGGAAGGCTTATGCCTGTTCGTTGACGCCTGCTTAATCAAGAACATAAAACTTCGTGCGACTGTTCCAGGACTTCGCAGCAAGGAGTTCATCACCAAATATGAGGCACTGCAGAACTCCTTCTTCGGACGATGGGCAAATCGACAACAAGTGCTCAAATATTTCGAAATGAAAGGGTCATAAGATGATCACAGTATTTTTAGGGTTTAGTATATAAGGATATATGAAAGAGAAGAAATGAAATGTACAAAGAGGATGCGTAGATCCGTAAGAAATCCCTAATTTCCTCCCACAAGACAATTCATCGTAGTGACAGCTATGCTAGTTTCAGTTCATTTACTGGCAACAACTACTTTAAACCGTGTGAGCTAGTACTGCTTACGAGCGGTTGTAGAAGTAGTCCCAGTGGTTGCGAGCGCGGACCCAGTCGTCGTAGGCAGCGGCATCGTTGGCCTTGTAGTAGGTGTCAGCAGAGGCGTTGTAGAGCTGACGGGCCTGGGCGTTCTGGCCGGCGGCCTTGGCGTAGAGAGCAGCAGCAGTCTGGCCGTAGAGAGTCTGGAACATCTGCAGAACATGTAAGAAAGGAACATAATAGTTTCGCGGAACAAAGCCATTTACATTTTCAGCCTCATCATTGACACAAGAATCTTTTAAGACGAGACACTTCAACACAACACATTTTCAGGACATCTGTGCATCCCATAAAACATTTGAAACACAGCATGAAGGGGAAACAGCATCAGGTCAGACTACATCTTGCATCTGAGCGTGCATGCATGGCATCGTACCTCGCTATAGGTTTGGTCTCCAGCCGCCGCCTTTTTGCCGCCCCTCGATTTTTTTTCCCTGTTCTATTTCCGGAGGCATTAGAGCTGATGCATCATACCCCCCCCACATCCAATTATTTCTAATTGAATCAATAAGAGATAACGAGTAGGATAGCATCTTACCCCTCAGAGGCTCGTCAGCCTGGACAACATTCAATGACTGAAATTATTTCAAATTTCCCATGAATTTTTGAAGGATTCTCGCAATCGCCGATCTCCCAAAATAGCTTCAGATCTTTTTTGCGGGCTATAACGTCACTAACCGCTATTTGATATCAGGATCTAGTGCGCTCGGAGGCCGAGGAGTACTCAGACGGTAGGACGACGGCCGGCGCCGGGCGGCCGGGTCGGCCCGCGAGTCACTCACTGTCCGATCCGATCGGGCCGCGCCGCAGTTCCGTGCCCGCCCGGCGAAGTGCGCCCGGGATCGTGCAATGCGCAAAAAGAGGGCAAAAGAGGGACTGATCCGATACTGCACAGGTCACCGGGTCCGTGCCACGGTGGCACGGAGGGCCCGGCGCACGGTACTCGGAGGCGCGGCCGGGTCAGCCGGAGGGCGGAAGTCACTAAGCCTTGCCAGCAATAAAAAGAGTTGTCCAACCTCGGAGCCAGACGGCCCCTCAGCCAGCCGGTAGCGAAGGTTGGTTTCGATCCAACGACCTCGAGGTTATGAGCCTCGCACGCTCCCACTGCGCCACTTCGCTGGAGGTTACACCCCATCCTACATTATATGACCCCCCTCTTCCCCTCCCCTCCTCCCTTCCCCCTGCTCCTCCCAGTACTCCTACCCAGCGTCGCTCCACCCTTGTTACTTCCCTCCCATCCTGAGCTCCACCGATCATACACATCTCATCTACTTGCTCTTTGTCTGGGCATCCTTCAACCTCTCACCCATCGGCTCCCTTCACACCTGCTCAATCGCTTCTTCCTCGGGTATTGCTCCCTTCCTAATCTAAGCCTTCCGCGGAACCATGGCTTTGAACTCTCAGCCAAAGGATGATTGTGTATCATTACGCTGCTGTTCGGTTTTGAAAAAGATCTCATGATTTGATTTCATCGATGTCCTCAGCGCTCACGACTCATACCTATCCCACGATTCGAATGCAGTCTTTTACCTCTTGTTTGATCACAATTGTGTACAGAAGTGAACAGGGAAAAGATCCATTCACGAAATCATTCACAATTCTAGATTTTTTTTCATTAATTCCAGTAGAAAGTCAAATGTTGAATCAAAATGATTTGTATTGTTCCATGCTGTTTCTTGTTTTTTCTCCCTCTCCAACATATCCACAGGTCTTGATCCAACTTTGCTATGTGCATACGCTCATGCGAAGAAAGGTGATTGTAGTTTTTCGCATGGCGCAAAAAGGTGGTCAACGAAAAGCAAACACACTTCATGAAAGAAAAAGTAGTGTATCAAACGATATGGAACAAAGTGGTAGCAGAAGGAAAACGAGAAACGAATCGCGCGATTTCAATAAAATACAAAGTGTTAGTGATGGTACGGGGCAAGCATACGAAATGAGCGGTAAATCAGAGCTGCAATAAGGCTTTAGGCAGAGGCAGAAGATCGCATTTTCGAAATGGATCAATCATACGAGTAAGCTGATAACAGGGAGACCAGGGGTAGGGAAACAAGGAAAGACATAGGAAGGTAACACTGCGTATCTGAGAATGGATAATATACAAGTGCTGCGAAACAGGGTAAACGTATGGCAATTGCAAGAAACTGGATAGGATAAATCTCAAATAGGCCCCGAATATCAGAGAAGGAAGATCAAAATCGAGTAGAAGGATGTGAGGGGTTAAAGGATGGCACCACCAAGATGTAGTCAACATCTACATAATCAGTGAATAAATGATAGGGAAACAGCATGTACAGATCTTTTCCCTGTTCACTTCTGTACACAATTGTGATCAAACAAGAGGTAAAAGACTGCATTCGAATCGTGGGATAGGTATGAGTCGTGAGCGCTGAGGACATCGATGAAATCAAATCATGAGATCTTTTTCAAAACCGAACAGCAGCGTAATGATACACAATCATCCTTTGGCTGAGAGTTCAAAGCCATGGTTCCGCGGAAGGCTTAGATTAGGAAGGGAGCAATACCCGAGGAAGAAGCGATTGAGCAGGTGTGAAGGGAGCCGATGGGTGAGAGGTTGAAGGATGCCCAGACAAAGAGCAAGTAGATGAGATGTGTATGATCGGTGGAGCTCAGGATGGGAGGGAAGTAACAAGGGTGGAGCGACGCTGGGTAGGAGTACTGGGAGGAGCAGGGGGAAGGGAGGAGGGGAGGGGAAGAGGGGGGTCATATAATGTAGGATGGGGTGTAACCTCCAGCGAAGTGGCGCAGTGGGAGCGTGCGAGGCTCATAACCTCGAGGTCGTTGGATCGAAACCAACCTTCGCTACCGGCTGGCTGAGGGGCCGTCTGGCTCCGAGGTTGGACAACTCTTTTTATTGCTGGCAAGGCTTAGTGACTTCCGCCCTCCGGCTGACCCGGCCGCGCCTCCGAGTACCGTACCGTGCGGTATCGGATCACTGCCTCTTTTTGCGTCCGCCCGTCCGTAGCCCAGGCTCCGGCGGCCCCGGATTAACTTAAGTTAGGCTAGTCACACGGTAGCCTCGGTAGTAGCGCGGCGGGCGGCCGCTTGTCCGACGGTCACCTGACACTGGGGCCGGGCCGGATCATCCCCGGGCCCGGCCCGGCGAGACCGTGCGGACCCGATGATACCGGGTTGCCAGATCCGGGGGCCGAGGAAATTCCGAAGTTCGGCGGATTCGACTCACCGACAGGCTCAGTGCCAATCTTTACTCAAAGTGAAGTTCAGGAAAAAGCACGGTTGAGTGAGTACGAGGACAATCAGGAGAGTCGAGGAGGCTTGACCCTGACACTGGCCGACGGAGCACAAGTTTGTTAGACTTGTACTAGTCCAAAAGTCACGCACTGAGATATCACCGTTGCCATAGACCTCAGTTGTAAGGAATTGAGGAGCACATCACTGGGAGAGATAGACTGTATGCCAGGATGTGAAACCCAAGCATCCAGACATGAGAGGACCTTGGCAAAACGGCTACTAGGAAAGGGCCCCCTCTTCGTCCCACGTGACAAGCTACATCGGCCGGCCCTCGCCACGTAAGTCATCTTGGTTTACAGGAGAGTTTTTGTTAACTCGGCGCTATCTGACTGGCACGGCTGGCATACGTTCCATCCTCCCCCCGAGTTTCTGAAATAGTACGTTACATCGGACGTCAGAAAGTCAATCAAACAAGAGAATGTCAGCAGAGTTCCAAGTCGAGATACGACAAGACTGTCTGCGTCAAGTTTACAGTTATGCTGAGCAGGCAATAACCATTCAAATTTGAAGACCAAAAGATAAATTTTGAACCGTAAAGAACTTGTGACCAGAGAGTCGGATTGCTGCCGCGAGATTGGAACATCCGTTTCAAGGCATTTGAAGATGTTGTGCAGTTGTACCTTGTTCGCCGATCCAGAAGTAGCTTCAGTTATGCATGCCACAGCCTAGCTCCATGACATGAAACTTCCGCCAGATCTCCTGGTAGTTCCATTTGATCCTACTCAAAGATCATGGCAAGAAAATATGAATCGAATAAGCTCCAGTGTGTTTCCACAGTTCGAGTCAGATATTCGACCGACCAATCTGGCTGGGGAAGGCTTGTTTTTCCTATTCGAAGATCAATCAAACAAATTGAGGCTGAGATGAGAGGCCTAAACAACTTGCGGCTAGAGAGAGAGCCTGATTGAAGGCCCGGCTCGGACTGACTCACGCCGGGTCACCGCCGGGGTGCCACCACGGTGACACCAGTGTACCGGCGTGCGACTTGTGACCGTTGACTCAGTGAACTCAGTGAGTTCCAACCCGGGCCGCTCGGTCCGACGGAGCCGAAGATGGCCGGGCCCCGGCATTACTACTATGATTACGGTAGCACTGCCAGGCTTGAAGACTCAGATGTCCGATCATCCCATCCATCCCTCGCAGCCTCAGGCTGATCACACTGGCAGCAGAGAATCGCAGCCCAACTTGCCTTGACGAGCCAGTCACGACTCGAAGTGCGTGGGTGCAGGACGGTTCAGCGATCATCGCGGGGGCGGGGGACTCTCAGTTGCTGCTCGCTGGAGGAGCAAGATGCTTCTGGCTGTAGGATCGCACAAGGAGTCTGAGCCGCTTGGTGCTGTCAGGGATGTAGATATTTACTAATGTACACGGCCATTCGCTTGCTCGACCCTCCCCCCCTCCCTCTGTCTGTCTATCCCTCCGCGGTTGCGATCGCGCAGGGCAGCGGCAGCCCGTCAATGCTGCCCCCATGCTGGTGTTGCAGGCGCTGGATGTAGGCGATGGCGGCACGGAGACGGGCGAGCTGGAGGGTCTTGGAGGAGGAGGCAGAGGCGGAGGGGAAGCGGGGAGGAGGGAGAGTGCCCAAGGGCAGGGCAGGGAGTGGGGACATGGCGAGGCGGCGAGCAGGCTGGTGAGGTCGTGGGGAGAGGGAGAGAAGTGGGGAGTATAAGAGGAGTCGGAGAGTCACGGTACAGGAGGTCACGGTCACGAGGGTCCTGTAAGGCAAGTCAGGTAGTAAGTAGAGGAGCACGATTCTTTTAGGAAAGGGTGGAAAAGTGGGGAATACCTGTAGATGCAGTCGCAGAACAGACTCGAAGCTGGGAACATTTGAAGTCACGTTGTGGTCACGTGATAGTCACGTAAGATACAAATCTTCAGGTAAGCAGGACAGCGGAGGGATTGGAGGTCGGGGGTGCGACTCAGGTCAGAGTTTGCTGGTTGAAAGCTCATGATCCATGACATTACCCATGTCTTGGTCATCTCTCCTGCTGCTGCAAACATATCAGTACTCGCTAACACTCTGACATTACAACCACTGATTGCCACAACTCAACCGGAAGTTTGATAACATTCTTGGACGATATCTTGCTCCTTCCTGAGCTTTAGAGGACAGGGCGATGTATTAACACATCAGACTTGAAAGATTTAGATAACCATCGATGGCAGCACATGGGCTGCGCACGAGTCGTTGAACGGCAAGGGTTATCATATCCACCAGGATCCGGACGTTACTGATACTTGTACGGATACTTTCTATTTGAACAGATGCGCCATCAGCGTCGGGTCTCCTTTCTTCGATCCCCTTGCATGCGGACACATGTGCAGCGAGTGTGGTGCATTTGGTTTGTGTGCAGTTTGGCTCAAGTAAATCTAGAGACTTCTATCATCTGATTCTTTGGCTTCTCTGGTCCTTACTCTGCTCGTAGCGTCCTTGATCTCTGTGATGTGCATACAACAGCACGCTCCTGTAAACAGCTTTCCTTCTCCTGTTCAGCTCAGGCAGGCACTGAGAGAAATCAAGAGAGGATTTTCCCCTTTCGGCAAGATTTTTATTCGCTTTCCTTCATCTCCCACAATTGTGCAGTCGTTCATGTCTTGTTTACTAATGTACACGGCCATTCGCTTGCTCGACCCTCTCCCCCTCACTCCTCTCTGTCTGTCTATCCCTCCGCAGTTGCGATCGCGCAGGGCAGCGGCAGCCCGTCGATGCTGCCCCCATGCTGGTGTTGCAGGCGCTGGATGTAGGCGATGGCGGCACGGAGACGGGCGAGCTGGAGGGTCTTGGAGGAGGAGGCAGAGGCGGAGGGGAAGCGGGGAGGAGGGAGAGTGCCCAAGGGCAGGGCAGGGAGCGGGGACATGGCGAGGCGGCGAGCAGGCTGGTAGAGGTCGTGGGGAGAGGGAGAGAAGTGGGGAGTATAAGAGGAGTCGGAGAGTCACGGTACAGGAGGTCACGGTCACGAGGGTCCTGTAAGGCAAGTCAGGTAGTAAGTAGAGGAGCACGATTCGTTGAAGTTTAAGCCGGTGACTACAAAAAAGAAACTTGGGGAGGTTGACAGACCAATCGAGAACTTGGGGAATCCGATGCAACTTAGTTCAGAGTTGATTACTGAGTTGCCTCTCAATCCTCCTGGTCAAGCAGAGTAGATCAAACAAGATCTTCGTAGGCTCCTCGTCTAGTCCGGATGCCGTCACGATCCCGTACGGTCTAGTGCAAATGCGCACATATCAGCTCCGACCCATCTCCTCCTTCGGTCGTCTGACTGCACCCTGCCCCTGCCGCTCCGGGTCTTACGCCGGCATGACTTGGGTTGCCTGGTCGTAAGCTGATACTGAGGTGACGCATCTGCAAGCATCCAGTACCTCCCGTCCCTGACCGCGGCCCATCCATCCCTCTTCACTTCACTTCTGTGACTCGTCGCAGGCTTCACGTGCGAGAAGTGCTGACGAGTTGCGTGGGTGCAGGACGGTTCAGCGATCATCGCGGGGGCGGGGGCGAGGGACTCTCAGTTGCTGCTCGCTGGAGGAGCAAGATGCTTCTGGCTGTAGGATCGCACAAGGAGTCTGAGCCGCTTGGTGCTGTCAGGGATGTAGATATTTACTAATGTACACGGCCATTCGCTTGCTCGACCCTCCCCCCCTCCCTCTGTCTGTCTATCCCTCCGCGGTTGCGATCGCGCAGGGCAGCGGCAGCCCGTCGATGCTGCCCCCATGCTGGTGTTGCAGGCGCTGGATGTAGGCGATGGCGGCACGGAGACGGGCGAGCTGGAGGGTCTTGGAGGAGGAGGCAGAGGCAGAGGAGGCGGAGGAGAAACTGGTTCCTGAAGCGAAGCGACAAGCGGAGGATTCGTAGGGGAGAAGATCAGGCAGGGTATCTGAGCGTAGGAGTGGGGACATGGCGGTGCTGAGAGCGCCGGAGTAGATGTGGTGGGAGGGGAGAGGAGAGTGGAGTATAATCGGCCCACAAGACAGTCAGAGAAGAGTTTGACCCTCTGGTTTGCGTCAACCGATGAGTGTTGAGGCTACAAGAGGAACTTTAAGACAGTCAGAGAAGAAGCTCGAAGCTGGGAACTTGTAGATACAAGTGTCTCGCTCGTGACTCAGGATTGTCATGTAGCAACTATCGGAGGTACCCCTCGCAATCCGCGAGATAGTAGGGGTAGTATCACAGGAACAATGCTCTCGTCGTATCGGACCGTTCTGGCAGAGTCCCACGTGACGCGCCTAGTCGGATGGGGGCAGCAATTGTTTTGTTAATTGATCCGTCACAGTGATTATTGCTGTCTTTCTGCAAGGTTTCTTTTACTCCCCTAGGACTACTTCCTAGGTCCAGGTCTGTAGGAAGAAAAGAAAAGTTTCAAAGTTTCGAAAGTTTGACCTGAAGGAGGGAAGGCGGGGACAGACGATGGCTTCCCGCCGCGCCTTAGCAGAGCTTCCGGTGAACATGTCGACAAGGGAAGGAAGACACAAGAACGAAGAGAGCTGTCACGACGAGCTCAGAGAGAGGTTCAGCCCTGCTCCACTTGCTCTTGGGAATTCGTTGACTGTCTTGGGCACAGATTGGCAGGGTACAGGAATGTAAGGGAGCAGCTCTCCGACAGTGAGTCATATGAAGCTGCTTTGATCATCCAGGCCATGCATGTGACTGGATCATGTATGTCTGTAGGGATCCAACGAGCCATTTCTCGACGAAATGAGCTCTGGCAAGACTTGCAGGAGGTAACTTCGTCAGTTCCATATGTCCAGTGCATCATGTCTTCTTTCACAGTCAGTGCCTGACTCGATTTCTCCTGCACGAAGCTGGGGAGGTTTGGAATGCAGCGTATTAAGTCGTTCTGATTTTTTTGGTGAGCAGCCGAAGATGAAGATGCAAGTTTGTCCAGTGAGTTCGCCTGTCACATGCTTGAGAAATAAGGGGAGAACCTGTGATTTCAATGCATAATTAGGTTCTCGACAGTCCGAATCAGGGCAGAAATTGGCAGACTTGTTCAAGGAGTTGAGATGTCATGCAAGAATCCAAGAAGAGCTGTTGTACAGTGTAGATGGTACATAGTGCTTATTCTCATTCTGCTTTTGAAGTTTGACACTTTGGACAGAGTCACCGATTCTTCATCAAGGTTTGTAAGCTTTCAATCAAACAATCTCGAGCTTCATACTCACCTGCTTGTTGTTCGCATCTGACAGAAAGGACAGCACACACAACTTCGGGCGAGGGTTCTCCTCAACGAAAAGTGCGATGGGCAGATAATCAAGAGGCTGGAACACATCGGATTGCGCCTGCACCGCCGCCTCCTCCCCCTCCCCCTCCGCCGCCGCCTCCTCCTCCTTTGACAGAAGATTTGACAACGCATGACGAAACAGCCTCGAAAGCAGTGGATGAAGTCTCTGAAGTATTAGACCAGACTTGATGCATCATTGACTGCTGATGCAGCGAAAAGTGACGAGCAAAAGAAAGTCAAAGCCCATCATGGTCGAGCTACAGGAAAAAATGAACGGAAGACTGAAAACGACAGGGATTCCAAGGTGTTTCTTTGATCGGTGCTGTTCGGATTAACCTGAGCTTGAAAATTTCGCAGGACACCGGGAGGGAGTATCGCCAAGCCCAAGTCAACGCATGTTGAGGGAGATACTTCAGGTCGGCATCATTCAAGTTTTGCAGTCAATTGTTGAGCACCTGCTCATCAGCTTCCACCAAACATTTTCTTGAGAAAGCTCTCAGAAAGAAGTTCCACGTAGCTGGAACTGTCAAGTCGCCGAAGCATTGTGATACGAGGTCTTAATGCTTTGGAAGATGTGACAAACCCAGCTGTAACATCTTTCATCACAGTGATGACTGGGAAGATTGAGGACAAATTGACTTGTGTAGATTCAGTTTTATTAATGTAAAAGGCACAAGTATTTACCAGACTTGTGCTGCTGCTATGCGTTAGACAAGACCTTAAAATGTGGGAAAATGCAACTATACAGACAAGACAGGAGGAGGCTTCTTCGTCTTCTTCTATTCGATCATATCCCACAGAGCATTGCAGAGTTCAAACTCAGTCATCGTCATCGGGTCGAATTCAAACGATCGGATCGAACGGCTTGGCTCATTCTCTGCCGGCACAACTACCCCTTTCCAGTTCTTGGACTCCGAGTCCCACCTGACGTTGCTGATGTTGTTATAGAGCGCTAGGAGGCCCTTGTTGCGGGGCAACTGAACCTGCATGTCCTTGTCGACGTGCTGCTTCTTGTGCTGAACTTGTTGAATCTCCTCACGAATTGACTGGATCTGTACTTTGGTGTTCTCCTTGTTCGAAGAGAGCTCGTCAATGAACGACTCGAGCTCATCTCGTTGTTTCTCTAGAACTTTCAGCGCTTCTGCCGACTCGGAAAGCTCCCGATCATCATCTGCAGCAATCTCCTCCTTCTCAACTCGCTGTTGCAGAGCGAGCACAACCTCCTTGATCTCAAGTTCGCGGTTCTTCACTATCTGGCGGGTGTCAGCTTCAATCTTCTTCACCCTCTTGATAGTGGCAAGGTCTTTTTCGGTCGCTTTCTCATTGAAGATAGCATGCACTTCTGGGAGTATGCTCTCAAGATTTGGATCAATCTCCGCCATCCTGCTCCTTATGTCAGATGTAATCTTCGGAACTGATTGTGTTGTGCACAATGAGGTCAAACATCCATCCATTCAATTCACAGTCTATCATCTAATTGATGAGTGCAAATGTTGCAGACGTGCACATATTGAACCTCATCTCAAATGAGCATCTCAACGGTCTCGTCTCCTTTCGTATGCTTGATCTACTCAACACGATCTCAGGCAACATCTTTTCTCCTCTCTCCTTTCTGTGTCGTTCTGTTGTTAATTCTTCATCGGGTCAGACAAAATTCTTGATTCTTTGCTGCCTCTTCTATAAATTGCTACCGCTTTCTTCAGTTCGTACTCTGGTAAGCACGAGTTTTTCTGAATGTCAAGCCTCTCCATGCTCAATTGAGAATCCCTGCTGTGTTGAATAGTAATTCTTTGATACAACATTTTTCATCTACTCTTCAGGGAAGCTTCAACCCTCCACACCATCGTCCAGAGCTTTATCTTCACATCCATGTCTTCATTCCTAACTTCATCTCACCTCTGTTCTCTGTGCTCTCCTCTGTCCCTCCTCTCTCATCACTCTCCCTCCTCTCTCCCTCCTCTTCACCGGCTCTCTCCCTCCTCTCCCTCCCTCTCCTGTCCTGCTGCCGCTGCGTCTCCCTCGGCCCTTCCTACCCCCCCATTTCCACCTGCAACGGAACTTTTGAATTCAAACTCAAAACTTTAAAACTTTGGAGTATGGCAAACTTTGAACGTTCCTGGAAACTTTCGCGACAGAAAGTCAAACTTTTGCGTTTTAAAACTTTCACGTGAACTTTCAAAGTATCATCCCGTGGCCAATCGAAGTTTACAAAGTTGGTCCGCACCGTAATGGCGAAGAGCCGCCAAGGGTGAAGGGAGAGGAGAACGGGGAGAGAAGAAGAGTTGCTGATAGAGGAAGGTTCAACGTGACAGATCGAGATCGGATTTAGATACAGGTTGATTTATCAGGAAGATCCTGAGGCGAGAAACATCTTCGAGCATCACATACTTTTCGTTGTTTACTGTGTTTTCAAGAGCATTCGAAAGCAGCATGAGGTCTCGAAATCAACTTATAGCAGCAGTGGCTTGTACCTTGTTGTGCTCTGCTCTCATCTTGGTTATCATTCCCAAGTCACTGTCCATCTCTTTGTACATGCCGCCGAAATCTCTTCCTGTCGATGGAAACTATCCTGGTGGGACCACAGGCATTCCAATCGACGGTTACTGGCCGCTGGAGACGAGCCATGGCGCCACGCCTTACTTCGGCGACCCCACAGTCGTCACAAGCCCCAACGTTCTCGACTTCTCCTACAACCCAGCTGGAGCAAGGCGGAGGAGCAGGAACCAGCTTCGCAGAACTTTCTTGTCTCAGCTCCCCGAGGGGGAGGCGCGGGCAACTCAGATGTACGATGAGTCGGACGACAACGGCGAGGTAGACATGCGCGCAGATGCAGCCTGCTGGCATTGCGCAAAAAGCTACCAGGGGAACCCGTACGCCATGTATACAGCATGCGCCGACATCTGCCTCGCCGCGGACTGCGTTGAACGATGCGAGCAGCAGTACTCAGCACATCAATACGGACCAACGGCTCCAGACTTCTTGTCCAGGTTATGTGCGGGCGAATGCAGGAGACGGTTTTGAAGTTGAGGGAGCGTGTAGTGGGACCATCAGTCTGGAGCCAAGATGTGTCGTCTCGAAGACATCTTCTCTTTACCATGTCAATTTAGCCATCAGCATTCTTAAAGTCATTTGGTTTGTTTTGGAACAAAAAACACGTGTAAGAATTCTGTGCTGGTGTTGGAACTCCGGCCTGACACTGCTATTTCTTCACGGAACATGATGATAGAGCAAGTGATCGCACCTTCAAGAGACTGGTGAAGGCTAGTTCGTTGGTCTCGTTGGTCTGCAACCTGGGAGGATAGTTATGATACTACTGTGTGCGTCTTGTATCCATAATGACACATGTCTACCTTGCTGCCTTGAGCGTAAACCGAAGTCTCCTCCTCCTCAGATCCTGTGCGCGCGAGGATTATCAACGAATTGCACGAGGTGGGTCAGGTCAACCGAGAGGAGACGGCTTCATGCTCAGGTCAAAGCCATGCATCAGGCTCAGGAAGCGATTCAATCGCCTGGTTTCTTCCTCTAGATCCTCCGCTCGTTCGAGCTGCTCGAGCACGCGTTGGCGTTCAGAAACGTGAGCAGGGCATATGGTCTGCGACTCGTCAGAGCATCGACCATGGCTGTCGCATATCTCGAACCTTGTAGTATCTCTCAACAGCATGTCGTAGAGATGCGACTGAAGGGAGAAGATCTCTTGATGAATCAGTCGACGCCGAGACATCTTGGAGGTTCTTCGCTGCTCCAACCTCACTGCCGAGCGCATCGCGCAGTGAAGCTATCCTTGCTCTGAGCGACGTCAATCTCTCGCAGCGCCTCTTGTCCTCACTCCCTATGTCGCTGCACTTGGTCAGCTGGTAGGCACAAACAAACATGAGGCGTCCTGATACCTCTCGCACTCCAGCAGTCTCGATATCTGAGAGGATTTCATGTGATACCCTGACTCGGTTCACAGGAGTACAAGACTCATTCCATTGAGAAGAGATAAATCAGTCAGAGTAGCTGATGTACATCTTGACCGTCTGATCGTTGACTCCTGTAATCTTGTCTCCTTCCTACCCCCTCTGTCTGCCATGGAACGGCTGGGTTTCGTTCCCAAAAGTTTGTCCGGAAGTTTGAAACTTTCACTCAGAAATCAAAGTTTTAAAAATTTTGACATGGCGGGAGAGAGCGGTACCGCCCATGGTTCCAGGGGAATGGAGGGAGGAGGAGAACGGAGTAGGGCAGCATTGAACATGAGGATGAGCAGGAAACAATAAGATGCAAAATGCTCGTAGAACCGAGAGTTCACCCAGAATGAAGGAGAAAAGTTACAAGTAGAAGTAGCGATGCGTATAAGGAAGTTGAGAGGTGCTGTATGGAGTTCTGAGCCACGGCCTGCAGGTTGGCAAACGATGGAGGGACCACAACTCGGTAAGGGCAGGAGGAGCGACAATGAGAAAGTTTGAATGCATTGCTAGACGAACTTAAGGAGCTTGTGAAGGGTTCTTTGCAACAGAACGGTCCTCGCTTGTTGTTGCCTCTGCCTCTCACCACTTCTTCAGGAGTACTTGCAAGCCTGAAAGCACAGCTGAGGGTATGGCAACGTTGTCACCTGAGAGCTCTCTGACCCTGGGCGCAGGCTGCTGTCTTCAAGGTGGTGAACGATGAAGCCGGATCGTCGAGATCCAAGAGCTCTGCGATTATGGAGTCGACTGAAGGGGCCCTGGCCGTCGACCTCGTAAGAGTAGGAAACTCAAGTCTCCTTTGAATTGCCAGGCAGATTCGTGAATTCATGGAGTTTTACGAGCTTCACAGCACCATCTCTGTGCTCCTCCCAGAGGTCTAAAGTCCGTGAGCTGGTAGCAGTTGACAAGTTGACCGTCAGGCTTCGCTGGAAGTTGATTATCCCGGACGATCTCCGCTCGCCGTGCGACTAGGTGAGAGGACGATGAGCTTGTCTGAGCTCTGCGCTGACGATAGGAAGGGCTGGAGGAAAGCAGCAAAGAGCCGCTCTTGGTACCAGACCCCCTCCCTCCCTCCCTCCCTCCCTCCCTCCCTCCCTCCCTCCCTCCCTCCCTCCCTTCCTCCCATGTCATAACGCTGATATCTTGCCAAGATTCAAATGTTGAGGTCATTCATGACTGCGGGTTCCAACAAGGCGCATGTAAGAAGTTTCTTGACTTCTGAAGGATTCTGACAACGACCTCCAGCCATCAGCTCCCGAGACAAGGCGATCGCTGGATGGACACCAAAAGGAAGATAATCATGTGAGAGAAATTCTTGATATGGTCCTCTGCGTGTGATGCTTTTCATCTGCAGAAACAAAGTTCACCTGTGAAGGAGAACAAACCTTCCGACGGCAACTTTTCGTCCTCCCCTCCGACCTTGAGGTCCCCACGATGTGCAGCGACCTTGTCTTACAAGTCTGTCTAGCCCTCATCGCGATGGCAACGATCGCGATTCCAAGTTCTCTTTCGGAGCAGAAAAGAAATCTCAACCCACTAGAAACTTGGATCCCCCCAAGTCTCGCAACGACTTGTCTCCCCTCAGCGACCTCCCTCCTCTCCCTGGTCAGACACCACAATGACTGCTCCCTCCTCCCTCTCCTCCCTCTCCTCCCTCTCCTCCCTCTCCTCCCGTGTTCACTGACGCTGATGCTTGTCTTCAGGCATGAAACCGAACAAGCATGTCTTCTCGTTCCCTTCTTCCCGAGGCGTTCAGGAGCTCGAGGAGGTTGCGACACTGCGGAGGTTCTGTTCTGATGCTCGAGAGCAGGTCGCCAAGCTTAGCCCCCCGGAGTTCCCAAGAAGCGACAAGGCGACCAGTGACGCGACGCACAGCGGAGAAAAGGAGGAGGAGGAGGAGGAGTACAACTCCCTGACCAGCACGACCCGACGACTTTATCCCAAGAAGGATGACAACGTCGACTTGGAACGAGGCAAATCGCCTGCTGCGTCAGAAAACGTTTCTCCGAAAGCCACGAACGTGAGCAGGGTAGGAGGGAGGCGAGGAGGGAGGGAGGAGGGAGGGAGGAGGGAGGCGAGGGGGGAGGGTACAGGCTCATCGGGTTCTCCCTACAGGAGCGGACGAAGATGGCGGGGAGGAGCGACAAGCCTCACAAGGCAGGCTGAGGCTTGAGAGATGCACGTTTCTGACCAGGTTGCAGGGCTACAACATCGAGATCGAAGACGAGGAACACTTCATGCCCTCGCCTGCTCGCCTGACTTGTGCGGCAGGGCAACAGCGACTATGACGTGGTCGAGGAGGACATCGAAGTCCAGGAGAGGTTCAGCTTCTCCCTACCGCGATCCTTGTGGTTCTCATGCTGCCGCAGTGACGGGGAAGTCTCGCCAGCCTGGGGCTTGAAACCTCAGCAGCAGGAAGTGAGCCTGAGCGAGTCTTGCACTGAAGTCTCCATGTCCGACCGAAGGTGACCTCTCCCTCTTCTTCTTCTTCCTCCTCTCTCTCTCGCCACCCTCCCCCCCC